TTCTGTCTCTGCTGTCAAACTGTGGCTGTGTTACCGAACAACAAGGCTGCCCTCTGCTGGTGCTGAAAGAACCACCGTTAACACAACTGAGGTTCAGTACATTTGAGAGAAGCCTGGATTTCCGAGCACACACGTCCATTTTTTATATTTGTGGACCTCATAACCTGAGGTCCACATCCATTATTCTACCAGTGCTGGAGTCTGAGAATAAATAAATAACTGCCTGTTGTGCATTTTAGGGACCATATAACACTACTGTGGAGGTTACGGGTTAAAAGCAGCCTGTGCCGAGGACAGTTGTACTGCCTGCAGACTGTAGTTTCCAGTTAGACATAAGCCAGTCATGTGTCCTGATTTCTGAGATTTGCATCCTGAAACTGTCCTTCAATGACCTCAGTTTTAGTCACCATGATGCAGCACATGCATAAATGTGACATAAAAACACAGTTAAGCTCCAATAAAAAAAAAGAAATATACAGATGTTAGTGTTCTGATCTGTGGAAAAGTCATTTTAACGTTTTAAAAATTTGCCCGCTACACATGACGCTATGTTTGGCGGTCACCAAACACTGCACGCCATCACAAATACATCATCCCCATCAATAAGCATGACGGTGGCAGTATCATGACATGGAGCAAAGTATAAGGAAATCCTGAAAGACAACCTCATGCACGCTGCAGGAGAACTTGACTTGGGAAAGTATTTGCTTTCCAGGAAGTACTTGGAGAATAAAAAATAACTACCTGCCGTGCATTTTATCAACCACATGACACTACTGATGAGGTTATGGGTTAAAACTGACCTGCAGTCAGGACAATTACACCGTCTGCAGACTGTAGTTTCCAGTTGGACATAGAACAATCTTGTATCAAGACTTCTTTTGTGAGTAAGATTTGAAAGGACGCATACTGACAATCAGCAGAAACTGCCCTTCAGAAACTTCAGTATTTTGCTGTGACATACAATCAGAATTAAGCTCCAATAGCAAATGAAATAAAGGGACATCATTGAAGCAAAGAAAAGTCTTAATGATTTTAAAACTATTGCAATTGTGAAACAAAACCACCAATATATTAGATTTTCATCTGATTCATTGGCACTGAAATATTCTGCTTCATAACCCATTTACCCAGTGTGTAACTTACACCCACTGCTTTTAGAAATTAGCCCACTTTTCTCACTTTTCATGATTATAAATGACAAACGCAGCACTCGACGTAGCTTTGATTTGCCATTAATCCGTTTAAGGATGTACAATAATTAATATGAATATAAATATAAATAATAGAAAAACAGATGAAGAAGTAGCCACCGCCTGCAGCTTTTGTTTTACGGCGGTTAATGTCTGATCTTGGAGTTAAAGTGAGTGAAGTTTATAATATTCCACTGCCACGCTTGAGTGGTGTTGGCGAGAGCAGCGTGCATGCTGGTATCTTTATTAAAAGGAATTAGTGATGAATCATCCTCATGCATGAATCAAACGTTATTAATTGCCTAATTATACGCATGATCAATGACGATGAAGAAACAGAAAAACAAAAAAAATTGCAAAAACAGCAAAAAAAAAAAAAAAGAAGCATATTTTCAGTATTTTAGAGGGCCCCCTAACCTCCAAACCAAAAAATAAATAAATAAAACTTCATGAATCATCTTTTTATGGGAGCTTATGTATTATTAGCACTTTGAGCCCGGGGCTATTTTCGGAGTAATTTCATTGCCTTTGCTTTTACGTTCTTATCTTGGTCATTATGAGGACGAGCCATACATTCTGCATCTTCTTCTTTTTACAGGTCAGTCTAGGCTTCCATCGTTTAATATAATAACTGCAGGCTTGTTATATTAGCCTCTATATAAAAGGGAAAATGTATATCATACATGTATCGCACCATAACATACTAAAGGCGTGTTTTGGAGAGATGTTGGTGGGAAACTGTACAACTTAGAAAACTGGGGAAATGCATGATTAGTGCCTAACAAAAATAAATGTCAGTGTTTTATTCAGTGAAGTCTGCTTGCAGAGGCGGCAAAGCATTGACATCCGCTTCTGTGATATACTAACATATAATTGCATCGATGTGTAAATAGCATGTGCATATACCAACATCGGCATTGTGAGTAATGGGTAATTTGTGAAGGATGCAAAGCTCTATCCAGGTTGGACCTATGATTTTAATTTCATGTATATCAAAAACATTTTTTCTCTGCCTCGCACAGACATGCATCTAGAAGTCGTGCTTTCATTTTATATGCGTTGCACCTCGCTAAAATAAATGCTTCAAGAACAATTCAGTGGAGAGTATAGAATGTGAGTTTGGAGCTTCTTTCAGGCTCTGAGGGTGACGAGAAGCTAAGCTCTTCCTGGCTCCCCTGCAGTTGGCACGCTGCATCCTTCTGAATTTATATGGTTTGAATTTTCCTCTCTGAAATTCAAATCTTGTAACATAAATAGCATGTTTCTCCTCCTCCGTTTACAGGTTAAGGTGTGCTGAAACTCCAGTCAGTATTTTTCTCCTGGATAATAAGCTCGTGGGCTCTACAGGGTTTATATTTTGGCCAGTTGACTATTTTGGGAAGCTTGAGTGTGTGCATTTTGTACTACTGATGTTGTGGGGATAGAGGTCAGTTAATATGGTCACATTATGGACACTCACCTGCCTTTTGGGGAGCTAAAAGCACGTCTCCATTACAAGCAGGACATTTTAGGCAACTTCAAAGTTAATGTTGGACTTACTTTAAGGTTAGAGATGTTTAGGGTTTGTGTAAGTATCACCTGAAGCAATGGAAGCACATCTGTGTGCATAAGTGCGTGTGTGTGTGTGTGTAGGTGCGTGTGTCCTAAATTCAAGTTAAAATTAAATTTGGCCTTCAGCCACACTAATATGGATATTTGTGTGGACGGATGTTTCCTCTCACTGTCTGAAAAAAGTCTACACACAACAATCCTCAGACACTCCGAGCATGCTAAGCTAATCAACATCAACCATTCAATAAATGTAAAAGAAAACTGTCATTACCTTGTTTGCGGTGGAGCTTCAAGTTCCAGATGTTGTCGACCACAGGGCACCACAGAACCTTTTGTGTGCAGGTGAAGTGTTGCAGCAAACCAGCAAAACTTGTAACTTGTAAACAAGTAGAAAGAAACTGATGGATACATAAAAAGCATTCACTCCTCATGCTTTTCAATATTGAACTGTGGTCAATTTATTTTGGCTTTTTTGACAAAAATTCACACAAAGAACACTTCAATGTGAACATGAAAGCAGATTTCTACAAAATAATTCCAATTGATCAAAAAATGAAAACCTGAAAATAAGTGGCTGCTCAAGTATTTAGCCTCTAAAGCAGGGGTGTTGAACTCTGTCAAACTTCAAATGATCAGCTCATCATCAAGCTCTGCAGAAGCCTGATAACGATCCTGATCATTTGAATCAGGTGTGTTGGAAGAGGGAAACATCTAAAACATGCAGGATTGCGGCCCTCGAGGACCAGGATTGGACACCCCTGCTCTAAAGAGACTGATGAGACTAACACTGAGCATTTGACCATCAGATTAGATGCTAACACCAAACACTACACATCATCACAAAGACAACATCCCCACCGTAAGGCATGCTGGGGGCAACATCCTGAAAGACAACCTGATGCAGTCTGATGAGAACTGCAACTTGTGAGAATATTTATTGTCCAGGAAGACAGTGTAGTGAAGCATGGAGCCAAATGGAGCTACACAGAATTAGTTTAAAGATAATAACAAGATGATTGATCTGGAGCGGTCGAGTCAGACACAGACTTGAATCCAATTTAGAATTTATGGCCAGACTTGAAAGGAGCTTTCACTCATTCTTCCTGTGTAACCTGACAGAGAATGAACAACTTTACAAAGAAGAAAGAGGTAGAACTGCAGTGTCTAGATGTGCAGAGCTGATCGACAGAGGCTCAGAGCTGTAATGAACCCAAAGGTGCATCTATTTAATAATAGTAAGAAAAATAATTGACCAGATTTATGTCGCGCTTTTCTAGACATTCAAAGACACTTCATACTGTCAGTTATTCATTCACATACATTCATTCTGGTGGTGGTAGCTCCGGTTGTAGCCACAGCTGCCCTGGGGCAGACTGACAGAGGCGTGGCTGCCATTTTGCCCCTACGGCCCCTCTGACCACCACCTCCAACAATCCATTCATGTGCATTCACACGAGGCAGGGTGGGTGAAGTGTCTTGCCCAAGGACACAACGACCACGACACAGGTCGGAATCGAACCGCCGACCTTTCGATCATTGATTCGCTCTCCCACCTGAGCCATATACACTGACTTGACGTGTTCGTGAGTTCTAGATTTTTAATTGACACTGCTTTTTAAAAATCTGCTTTTATTTTTACATGAAAGAGTCTTTTTAAAATAAAAATCTTGCCTATAAAGTCACATTAAATTGACCACGATTCAATTAAAAAGCAAAGAAAGGAGAAAACTTCCACTGCTGAACACTTTGTCGGCCATGTCTTAGGTACAAACAGCAACAATGAGGTGACTTTGTCTCAAACTCTTCACTTCAGATACACAGAGTTTCAAAGAACTTCTACTTTAGAAGGTGCTTCTAACTAAAACCCTGTTTGGTTGTGGATAATGAGGCCCAAACAAAAAGAAAAATTTTAGTTTTGCAAAAATATTCATATTAACGTGTCCTTTCGTAGTTTTATTTTATTTATTTATTTTTAAAATCCCTTTATTCAAAAATGACGACATGAATTAGACAAACTTGAATGCAGCTTTTCTTTGAATATTCAACAGATATTTACAGTTTTGAACCTGAACTTGGGGAAACCTTGACATTTCAAAGACTGAATTTCAAACACATAAACTCATAGTGAAGTATTTCAGTGTTATCAGGTCATTTATTCAACATAGTTTTCAAATAGATAGATTTGAATCATTACTGCTTTTCTGTGCTTCCAGACAACCCCTAAAAAAAATAAAATAATAAAAAGTACGAGAGAACTTTGGAGTTACTGTAACACTTTATTTTCTTAAATACCACAGAATATTAGTACAGTCAGTTACACATATTTTTAGAGGCAGAAGACATTCTGGTCCCTCTCACCCTGCTTTTATGAAAGGGATAAAGGGAAGCCTTGGGTGGTATCAGAGGCTACATTTGCTCACACACACACACACACACACACTTACATCCACACAAACTTCCACTCATCATCCACCAACACGTAGACGATGACCATCATTATCCATGTTGGATTCTCCATCTTAGATTTCACAGACGCCCACACGCCAATTCGCAGCACCAACACGTAGAAGATGACCATCATTATCCATGTGGTGACAAACAATCTATTTAGCAAAAAAAAAAAATACTGGTTGCTTTCCAACCGCTCCCTTCCGTTTTCAACGATGCTGATTTCTCACTAGTAATTGTTTTGGTCCTTTTGATGCTCAGGACAATAGCCTTATGTTACAAGCGGGGCTGATGAGAGGTTTAGAGACATCATTTGCCAATTGGAAATCATTAGCCAATAATGAAGCCTTTCAGCAAAGCATTAGACCGCATGAGAGCTTCAATCTTGTTGCCCTCCGATCTATAACAAGGGGGAGGTTTAGGTTTCTCTCTGAAGTGGAGAAAAGGTTTACTCGGGTTATTCTGAACATTTCCGAGGATCAACCAGACATTAACAGCCTCCATGCATGTAAACATAGCCAGTGTTGTCAGCTACAGTATATACAGTGTTGATTCAGGCAGTGCATGATGAGACCAGGTCAGAAATGCCAAAGTCAAGAGTTAAAAGGTTCATACTGGGGCGGGCGTTATGGTTCAATCTCACTCGTCTGACTTTCTGTCTTTCAGTAGTACCGTCACTGAAGCAATAACAGATTCATTGGCACATTAAACACTGTCATGAAAAGAGAGTGCAATCGTTATTATTTCTGACATTTTGTGAGATAAAAATCTAAGCGGCATTATCAGTGAAGCCATATCTCTGTGATATTTTTTTCTTTTTTAATATATATATATTTATATATAAGAAAAGTCACCAACTGAAGGAGAGAATAAAAGACAGACTCTTCAGAGTAACAGTGCAGCAGTATGAAATGATGCATCCAGTCTGACAGGCAGGAGGACACCGAACACACTCTGAAAAGATGTAGCAAAATAGAAATGTGCCGTAACTCCACCAGAAAGAAAACATGCATTCAAGTTCCGAATGCTTTTAGGCGGAGACAAAATGGGGATGCAAACAACTTCCCAAAGAAACACGGTTTATTTACAGGGTAAGAAAGAAGTGCAAGGCTAAGCTTTCATAGACATTCACACACTTAATATCCACAGTATATACCAAAAAAGACATGCGTAGAGGCACATACATATTCATCATACAAAAACAAAAAGCGGAACACCAGTCAGACGCGGCTTCTGTGACTCAAATCTGATCAACCGACAATGAAAGCGACGCGCGCAAAAAGCACTGACATCATGGGATGTGAAAAAGGCAAAAGCTGAAGTTCCAGCCCTTTGAATAAAAAAGATTAACAATTGTCACCCACAACAAAGAGACATCACTAATCTTCCATCCATCTCTTTACCGATACAGAGTGCCAGCCTCGTCTTCAGCAGAATGTTACCACCCAAAGAAAACGTCTCCGTCCTTTATGCTTTATACGGAGACACAATATTTGGTTTTCAAATTGGGTTCTCAACTCTCATCGATTGTGTTCAAACATTACTGCGGCACAGTGTTAGTGCCTATAAATTTAATTTAAAAAACTAATTCCCTGTTTGATATCTAAAGAGAGGGGAACAATCTCAGGGAAAACACATTAAATAAATGCCAGACAGGTACATCTAGAAGAACAGTAATTTAAAATTGGATTGGAATTAGCATCCAATATACAAAGTCTCCTGGGACTGTAAATTGTAAAAATAAATGACTGCATGAGTTGAAATGCTACAATTTGATTAAGACAGTCAGATTATTCTAAACACAATTAAGGCATTTTGAGCCTATTAATTTTTCTGCTCACCTGAGGGGTGCACTACAAAGCAGAATTAATGAGCTGGCAAAGTACGCTGAGCATAAAGTCGGAGTTTTCGGCGTCACAAAGGCGGTTCTCTTTTCATCTGGTTTGATCACCATGGTAACGGATGCTGCACAGATTGTCGGCTGAGGGTTTGGTTGAATGTTTAGTCCTATAGACCGTTGGTACTGCAGCTATCAGAACAATATTCAATCAATGACATCATTTTCACTGTAATTTAGCCAAAAACTGAAGTGATTTCCACGTATTCTTCAATGTTGGACAGTTTCAGAATATCATGTTTAAATGTATGAGGTTTATTATTATTATGTAAAATCTACATTTTAATCGCTTTTAAAAATAAACACCCCAGTTTGACTGGAGATATGAGGAAAAGACCTCAGTTGGATTTAAAGCTGGAACCAGGGGTATTATACTAATGGTAGAATAAATCAGCTGTGCTTTATTTTAAGTTAAAATACACATTTTGGGGGCATGTTAGACTTTACATTAACTTGGTACAACATGTGACAATATGTGACCTTTAAAGTTTAAGCAGCTGCATTGAAAATACATCGAATGCTGAATATTAATGTACACAAGGTCAGTTTTCTATCAGCATTCCTCTCTTGCCTTATGAGCAGTAACTGTGCTTAAACCAAGCCTTTTATATTCTTCATAGCGCTCCGTTATAGTAACCTGCTCCTCTTGACTGAAGCAGGCAGCATTGCAATCTATAGAATTTCTGCAGAAAAAGAGCCCAAATGAAGCGTCGAAGCATCGCGTTACCGTGAGCACGATCAGAATAAGTTCAATAAAGAAACCACCGTCGTGACGTCCATTCTCCCTGACTGGGGTTTTGGGTTTTGTCAAGCCAGTAAAAGAAAGCTTGGCTAAGTTGAACTTGCTTGGTAGCGCACCCCTCAGGACAGTAACACTGTTTTTCCAGTGAGGTAAAACATCTCCGTAGACCATGAGTTAAAAACAACTTTGCAGACTAATAAAAGAGAGGAGTAAAGATGCAATGACTTGTTGCAGTGTTTGAACACCACCTGCTCTGCTACAGAAAAATTACAAGATTCCCTTTTCCTCTTTGTAAGTCACAAAAACACACCCTCAGTCACTTTTTTTTTTTTTTTAAGTTCACTGTAGTTTGGCAGATCACAGAGAGAAGAAATAATCATAAGTCACTGTCACAAACTGATAACTTTCATTGACAAAGACATCGGAATTATCTTTAAAACGGTCACTACGGAGTGAAATAAATTAGACTTCTTTTTTTTTGTTTTGTTTTGAGATCATTGCGATTCTTACTCCTCCTTCTCGTGGAGGGAGGCACGTACACGATTGCGCACAATGAAAGCAGTGAGAGCACTGCAGCAGGCAGTGAAGATGAAGAGTGCAACGGCGTCGTGAGCGAGATCTCCGTGGAGACGCTCGTAGAAGGGACGGCGCTCCAGGAAGTCTGTTCGCAGCGCTTCGACCTGCATCAGGGTGCACACCACCACGAACACGTGAAAGATCTGGTGGCCCTGCCCGATGAAGTCACACTTCCCAGGGAACAAACTCTCTGGGTGAGGGCAGCAAAAGAAATAGGCGCTGATTAGGAAAAAGAGCACATGGTAGAAGTGGTACGCCACAATTGGGTCAGAGCAGCCCTCCTGGTAGCACCTGTAAATGCGATGAACCACAGGGCTTATGTCTAAACAGTAAGCCAAGGCCGAGGGCACCACTTGGAAGAGCTTGATAGCAAACTTGGGCAGCTCAGGGCCGGCATATTTGCCGTAGCAACAGCCGAAGCAAGTGAGCCAAGCCAAGAAAGCTGCAGCGGGTAAAAAGAACCCCTGCACACTGGTGTGCAGCTCTTTCTCTATGGCATAGTAGTAGTGTGCCAGAGCGCTCCCGTACTGGTAGACGGCAACCCCCACATAGTCGAGGAAGTAGAAGGTGTAGTACGAGAGCTCTGACTTGGCAGAGAGGAGATGAGCGAGAGCACTGAAAGAGAGGTAGGTGAAGGCTGCCAGGAGCACAATGAAGAGGGGCTGGGCATGAGGGTCTCGCAAAAAATCCGCCGTCTCCGAGATTTCCTGCCACTTCACCAAGATGATGAGGGCGGCCAGCAGGTGGGTCCACACATTGAGGGTCTCATTGTGCCTTTGGAAGAGGGTGAGGAAGTAGTAGCGCCAGCTTTGGTGCGGCTGTCGGTAGCCAGTGAGGATGTGGCGCTCGCGGAACACCCAGGGAACGTCGGAGATCTTCACAGTGCAAGGCAGCGTGGGGAAGGCCGACTCCAGCAGCTGGGGGATCTGTCGCAGCTGCTGCGCGTTGATAAAGAGCCGACCGATCTGCTCCATCACCACCGTTGCCATGGCAAACTGGAGACAACAAGAGGAGGGTGGAGAGAATGAACCAACAGTCAGTCAGTCAACGTTTCTGACACATTCGTCCTAAACTCTGTCCACATATAAGAATGCATGTGTGGACTAATGGAGCAAACAGACAACGAATCACATCATCAATTAGCTGCCAAGTACTAAACACTTGACAATGGATGAATAGATTTAAGGAATAAAAAATAAATAATAATAATAAAAAAAGAAAAGGTCTAAATTCTCCTATTCCACCTTCAGTTACTCTTAAATCAGAATTTTTTTTATCTTGGACTTTAGCGAACACTGACTGAGTGCAGCAGTCATTTGGTCAATAAACAAAAAAATAATAATAATAACTCAAAAATAATAATTTAAAAATCAATCATTTCAGTCAGTAGTTCTCTGGTTGCACACTTGGCTTGTTTCTGTGTTACGCTGCATTTATGTGGCGTCAGAATCATCTGGACAGACGAGCTCCTGTCAGCAGAAACTTTGGTCCGTGACATTTTCTGCAAGACATTTTTGACACATGATGCAAATTAGCATTTTGTCTGTAATCTTTTAGAGCAACATTTAATTTGTAAAAATGGTATTAGGTTGTAACCGACCGTACAGAGTGATCCTGATCAGTTGGAAAGTTATTTATTAGCAGTAAACCAGATAATGAGTCACATACAGGAACCTTTAATCGCCACCAACGACTTTTTAAAGAGCCAATATTGTACTTTTTGGGATTTTCGGTTTCCTTCTGTGTGTTACATGGCTGACTTTATTTGTGCATGCAAAAGGTCTGCAAATGTACAAATCCCTAAATCCACACGAAAGGGAGGTTTTGCTTGTTCGAAGCACCAAACCGTCGCACATATTTGCACAACACCTGCACAGTAGCTGGTTTTTGCAAATCCTCAGCAAAGACTGAGCAGCTCGATCGGACTCCACTATTATTTCCTCACTAGAGCAGCTTCTTATTGAGCTACATGTCTACACTCAGAGAACTGGTGTTGTGGTACGAAACCAAAATAATAAAAAAAAAAGCCCAGCTGATGAATAAGAGCAGACTGGTCTTGTCAGGGTGTCTTAAAGCGCAAGAAGTTAAAACAGAACATTTAAACACAGGGTGGGAAGACATGATACAACATTAGAAATATGTGTTTTTTGAACATTAAAGCATGTAAACATATTCTAGAAGATCCCAAAAACTAAATTAGAAACCAGTAAATGTGCACAATACGGTCTCTTTCGACACTGTGAGCTATAAAACACAACACATCTCCTTTGTGGAGTTGATGTTGTTTCCACATTCCAGCACACAAACACGCGGCAGAAAAACAATTTCCGGGCTCTGGTAATGGAATACCGAGGAGTGAGTGAATGAGCACATTATCTGTTCATAAATTAAATATCCTCTGTTTTGTATAGTTGGTTGAACAAACAAGGAATTTAACATCAACTGGGGCACGAGGAAATTGGCCGGTCTCACTGTTGTTTCACAATTTTAAAAATAATCAGATTATTTGAGCATAAAAATAATAATTACTTGCAAATTTTGATTAGGGTAAATGAAAAAAATCTGGTTAAATGAAATAATTTGATAAATGAGAGCATATTTTCCCTTAAAGCTGCAGTGACTGAATGTCTGTTCTGACCACTAGGGGGCAGAGAAGCAGCGATTTATTTGAATTTAGCAGATAAAAGCTCCGCCATGTTCGCCCGTTACTAACCATGTCTGCCTACAGTTTGGGTCGGGCCCGGTGCTGTTCAGTGGGTTTATTTTTTTGGCCGTAAACAGCTTCACATCGTGGCTGCAACCGAGGTTGATGAGAGTTATGAGGCAGAAAAACAAAGCAATAACCCGAAGATCGTTATGGCGACCGTCACCATACACACGAACTGATCTGTGTTCACAGGAAACTCATTCACGTTTTACACGGCCCATTTGATCTAAAAGTAATAACAAAATATTGATTAGTGCAGTTTGAAGTCTTTCCATTTGGAGAATGATGTTTCCTGATGGGTTTCGTTGTTCGTCTGGCTGACCATCCTGTCTCTGAATCGGGCCTTTAAACTGCTCCGCAGCATTATGCATCACTTTGAGTGACGGTTGCTCACCGCAGGACCTCAGGTGCAATAAAGCTCTGACCTTAGCTGCCCTCATTTTCATAAATTCTACCAGTGAGGCCTTGTCAGTATCGGTGATTGGAAATGAGAAACTGTGGAGAGTTTCACACAGAGTCGGGGCTTCCTATGTTGAACGGATGCATGTAGAATTTGTTTTTTAACACATAACACGGTGGCAGCTGACAAAAATACCATAAAAACGAAAGGGATTAATGTATAAAGTAACCTGATAGAAGCACTTGCATTTGGCTAAATCCAGCAACATAAATATAGATATATATATAGAGAGAGAGAGAAGAGAAAGAGACACATGTCACACTGCAGAAGAGAGACCACCACAACCACTAGCTTTCAAACAGTTGTTGCAGGAGCAGTGACACATGGCTGCAGGATTGGTCATTTCTACGCTCGGTCCATTGGAAACCACGCAAAGCACTCTGGAAGGGTTGCGCTGTGTCTCAACAGACGAGGCATTTCGTGGCCGCTCCTTATTTGCACAGAGTTGAGGTCGAGGCTATTTTATGCAAATCACAGCTATCTAGTTCGACTCACCACCTCTGGAAACCACAGGTGCTCTAAAAGGAAGAGCAACTGCACGACTTCTAGCTCAACTCACATGTTTTCAGAAATACATTTTAGCAAACTAATTTCTGGAATATAGGAGAAAGTTTCCAAATGTTGCAGTGGTGTTCTGATTTGAGATCGAGGAGTCCAGTCGGGTGCAACCAATGTTAGCTCAGTTGGAGGCAGATATAACCTGTTTCTTGTTGGAGATCACCTGTCAGTCATCACACAGTCTAGTCATCAAGCATCCAACACTGGGAAGCGGTTCAAATACCGTAAGAGTCACTTTGAATTGAGTAAGTCCCAAAACAATCTCAAACATCAGGATCAAGGCACTCTTCAACTGATCTATACTGACACAAATCCAATTCCTTGTTTGTGCTAAAGAAAGAACTAAGCAGGACATTAGGAAAGCACGTTTTGAAAACAAATTCTTGATGATCTGCAACATATTTATTCTACAACTGGTCAGCTGATGACTCAAGAAGTCTTTGTCATGGTGGTCCTTTACAAGCTAAACCCCAACAGCGCTCCCTGCTTGACCACATGGAGTCCAAATGAGTACAACAGCTGCTCCATACGTCTTATACGTACTAGAAAAGAACATGGTATTGGATTGGTATCAGTAGAAGCTAATAAATAAATGACCTGAGTGGGATCTGGGGAGAAAAAGCTTGATTGACACATTCCCACTTTCATCACCTCCCTGTTTGATCAGATGTATTTGTTCCATCTTCAAATCTAGTTAAAACTATTTTTTTTTTTTTAGACTAAACCTTTAACGGACATAAAGACAAATATGACGTGCAGTTTCCAGAATTCTTTGCATCTGTAAATGTAGATTTTGTTTTCCGTTTGTTGCAGCACTAATAAATTAAATGTAGTCAGCGCACTATGGACACCGAGCTGAAATGCTTTTCTGTTCATGAGCAGCCTCAATATTTAGAACACAGTCCGCTCAATGAAAATATAACAAACTTTTATTTAGGAAAGATATGCTAGAACATTTGCTAATAGACTCGACGATTCCAGGAGATGCAACAGTTAATCAATTAGCTATAAAGTAATGAATTAATGGCCAACTCTATTTTGATAAATCAACTTGAATGATTTTTCATTCTTAATCACCTGATTCCAGCTTATTAAATGTAAATATGTGCTGTTTTCTTCCCTTTGCTGTGACAGAAAACTGAATGTTTTTAGGCTCTGGACAGAAATAGACTCTGATGAACATTTTTCCCCATATGGTGACATTTTCTAGACCAGACAAGTCATTTATTAATTGCAAAAACAATCAGCAGATTACAAAAATCCTCATCAGTTGCAGAGGCAGGTCTTGTTTTATAGCATAATGTAAAAAAAATTGAAACCCTTCTGAGCTATTTGTGTCCAAGGATTTTATAATTTGATTAAAATTAATTAGATGTAAAAAGGTGCCACATGCAACAGATTATTTTTTTAAGAAGAACAGATCCTGCCCATATGTGTGTGTTGACTCAGCAGAGACAGGATTAAATGAGAAAAGCAGATCTACAGGAGAATAAATATTTGAATACAGAATGCCTGAGAGCTTCCCTGCATCACATTCCTTCAGAATTTTCACCTGGTGTCTGAATTGTGTGAGATTTCCACCATGAGCTGATACAGGAAGGACACACAGAGGAGGGAGGGGCGCATGTGCAGCGACCGGGATTAAAAACCACATTGTTCACTGGAGATCTTTCTGTTTTGTTTTTTTTTTTTTACACTTTACCTCCCAGAAGCAGAGGCAGAGGTCGGGGCTGTGTGGGACGAACACGGGCCGAGGATGAGGAGGAAAAGGCGTGGAGTGATGAATGGGAGATTACGTAACATAACCCCATCCGTCGTCCACACCCTCGGCTTCCAACGAGGGTTGCGATGCTTTAAAATATTCATAGGTGCAGAAAACAGAAGGGGGGAGAAAAAAAAATGCTCCACGATAAGCGGAGGAGCGTGTGCGTGAAATGTGGGCAGTGAACTCGGGGCCTATGTGGGCCTGTTGCAGCCCAATTCCCACCGGCGGATCGGCACCTGATCGGCGTGCCTGCTTCTGTGTGACACCCGGATAAATGTGCATTCACCTTTCCGCCGGTTCTCAGCTTCTTTGAGCTCCACTGGGTGGAATAAGCCTCAGAAATGTCGCTGATAAACACCTGACAGGCGGTTTTTTTTTTTTTTCTTAGGCGCATCTATCTCACGGAATGAGACACTTTGCAGCGACGCGAACGCTCCAGTTCATTTAATAAGCTCCCTATAATTAAAAATAAAATAATAATAAAAAATCAGAACGTACCTGTCGATGGTAGAATCAATCCGAAGGGTTGGACGTAGCGCTGGATGGGTGAATTAGAGCCGCGCAGAATATGGATAACATTGTTTGAAGGGGCGGCAGGAGAGAGGATGACCGTGACGGGAGCAGCAGCGCCTGGCGGAGCTCACGGCGCAGCTGCTGGGAGGAAACCGAGGCGGGATGACGGACGCGGCTTTTGGCCAATCAGCAGCCACCGGCGCTCCACCAATCACAGCAGCCAGGTGGCCGATGGGCCCGCCCACTCCGCACGCCAAATTCTTCCACTGCCACATTTCATCAGATGAAGGAGTTCAGGAGCACAGCTGCCTGCTGGTGTCTTTTTAGCTGACCTCTTATTAAAGCAGCTGGTTCACTGGCCTAAAAATACACGGAATAAACATATAAAAGCAGTTTTTTTTTTAATGACTCAAAGAGAAAGTTTTTTATTTTATTTTTTTTTAATCTTGTTTCCACTGTTCTGCATAGAAAAGAATCAAATTTAGCCAATTGTGCACAAAAAAAGTTTCCATTCTGTGAATTATCAAGCAGGACCCTCTCAAAATCAGCAATAACTATAAATAACTTTTGTATATTTAATGAAGTTTTAAAAAACAGTTCCAAATTACAGGCTCTTGGAGTACATAGAAAAAAATATTTTAAAAGTAAAAAATAAGATAAAATGTTCAGCATTTTTGAGCCCTCGTAACTTCATAAGTACAAGACACAGTCATTACACGTTTGAAGGGCTAAAAAACACACACACACACACACACACATTCGAGCTGTGCTGAAAACTGATGCCAACATAATTTTACATCCACTCCAGGTAAAAAAAAAGAAAAAGGAAAAAAAGGGGAGACTGGAAAATTCTAGATTATATTGGCTGTTCCATATACCAATCAAATCCTGAAAAAGTTCCCCTCTACCCTTTCAAATTCAGCTATTTTTTCTTCTACAATAACTTTTGTATATTTAATGAAGCCCTGCAAAAACAGTTCTATTTTACAGAACCTTCAAAAATATAAGGGTGGTTTGTAAAACTGTGTCTTCAGGCATTTTTCAAGCCATCATGACTTCATAGGAACAGAACAGGAGACAGCTACAGGATCTGAGGGCTTAAAACTACATTTAAGCTCTGATGCAAACTGCAACTAACTTAATTTTGCACCGACTCCACGTGTCGTAATCTACAGGCAAAATATTGGGCGTATTATTTCAGAGATGGCCGCAGACTTTTTCCCCCTGTCAAAGATATGAGCTGTGAAAACAAGAAAACAGTGAGGACAGGAAATGAGAAGTCGCCATTTTTCTGTGACCTCAAATTTCCTCTACACTGGATCATAGTAGCTGCAGCATCGTTTTATATAACATCAGCCAAATCTGAAAAATGTTTTCAGAATTAGCAAATTTTTGTGCAGTAACTTTAATATATTTAATGAAGCCATGCAAACATTTTGAGTTGCAGACAATTTACAGGTTGGCTGAAATGTTATGCTTTTGAATTTATGTAACATCCTACATATAGGAGACAGACACATCACATTTTCAGGGATGAAAAATATATTTCAGCTCTGTTAAAAACTGTAAATAAATGTATTTTTCGTCCACTCCAGGTGTCACAATCTAAATCCAAAATCTCATTTTTTTTAGCATAGTTTTTTTCTACAACAAATTTGAGCATCAACATCACAGAATATATCGTAGCTTTAGCAGCATAACTGTGCCCGTTTAATATTTGAGATAAAGACCGATAGAAACAAGCACTGGTAGCCTGGGTGTGGTATCTGTTTTCTGTTAATTCACTTCAGAAAAAATGTAAAAACTCAATTCTGGATCATTTTCAAGGCTCACGTTGTCAGTTATTCTGTCACACTTGAGTGCTGAGTCAGAGAAGACACCGAGATTTCAGCATGGGAATGACAGCTTGTTGTCAGTGGCTCCAAGTTACCGGTTTTACTCGTTGTGATGATGAGGGAACCAAAAACAATCACTTCTGTCCTGCTGTTATTCAGCTGACGAAAGGTTGTTTGTGTTTTGTTCTTTTTTTTTCGTCCAGCACAACTAGAGTTGGAGTCATCTGGAGGTATATTTGTGTGTCATAAGTTTAAATATGTCAGTGTTATCATGAGGATATACTTAACAAATAGAAGTACACGATGCAGAAAGATGTCCCTGTGACTGTTCTTCTACTACATATTATACTGTCAGACTGTTATCAGTCCTGCATCGATATAGAAGAAGGATTTTACTGTTGTAGTTGGTTGAGTTGAAGCATTTCTTTGTAAGCAGCTGCAACAACAATAATTGTTTTCCTTATTGCTTTTTTTTCTTCCATGAATTGATTGATTGTTTGGCTTATTAAAAAAAATAAATAAATCAGCAAATAGTGAGAAATAATCAACCTTCCAGTTCCAATAGCTGCAAATTTGACTACTGAAGCTGTGAGTGAAGCAAAATGTGCAATATTTCAAGATGTCAGGATGGAAAGTGGCGTGAAAAAGAAACGACACAAGTAGCAGACATTCCACCGCTCACTGCTTTACGCTTTGCTTGAACTGAGAAGAGTTTAGAGTACATCTTACTGTCCTTTGTCCTGTGCACACTGAGACAGTCTGTTGCCTTAAAATACGAGCATGAAAAAAACGCCATAAAAACACGAGGAGACACACAGAAAAAAAGAAATCTCTGAATTGCTTAATGCTATGTGAGTATATTGCACTTTAATACTTTGCACATGCTCTGTTGCGCCAGTCTTTGGTGCTGGAGTTCAGCAGCTTGACGGAGGCTGGAACAAAAGACTGTCGAGTGGTTGGATTTGCACTGAGGTGTATCTCATTTGCACACATCTCACCCGCATGCATCACAGGGTGTCTATTAAGACAGCTGCAGGATCTATAAACAAAGGTCTACAGAGGTTAAAGGAGCATCCCAGTTTTTCACATTATATTTCTTTAACATGCATAAGTTCACCCTCCGATCCACCTGTCAACACGCTGTGGATAATGAATTGTGCAGCGGCCACAATTGTAAAGTTATGCTCAAATTAGGTGTAGAAATACCTTCATGTTGCACATTCTTAAATTGGACAACACTCCTTTTTTTGTCAGTGCTTTGGCTTTCTGCACCGTGGAATTTAAAGCGAGAACTCCACTGGATCTCATTTGATAACCAAAACAAGCAATTTCCCTGCTTGGTTGAGTCAGTTTTTATTGCCTGCGTCTTTCCCTTGTTTCACATTCTGCAACAAAGTGCGCTTTGTCAGGCAGAGACTCTGAAAGATCTGCATTGTTTCTTGAGTCAAAACCTCCTACTCGGTGTATATTCCCCACAGGGAAAGGGTTCAGGGCGTGGCCGCGATGACGGTGAATCAATGTGTATTTATTCACTCCAGGATGATCTGCGTCTTAACCTGGATAACGTCAAGGTAAGAAGGAGCAAGAAAAAAAGTAAATGTTCAGACCAGAGTAAAGAGAAAAGGTTCCTGAAGTCTGGCCAGCTTCTGTCCCCTTTGTGGTCAGACGGCCGAGGAGCGCTGCACCATGGGACATCGTTCTGTGCCGATGAGTTCAGCAGTTTGTTCTGAACACATGACAGAGTGGGATTGTGCAGCAGCAGCAGCATGTGTGGGTGTGTGTAGTGATACAGACTCCAACACACATCTGCAAACAGTGTTGCACTGTGCACACAAAGTATTCAGTTACTACTAACAACCAAAACATGTGTGAAAGGGGTCATCATATGTAGAAATACGTAGGATGGGTTTATTTTAGGCACGGTTTCACAAAAAAGTAGCATTTCTGCAAAAGGTTGATCCATGAGTTGGACTCTGTGTGATTCATGCACATTTTGGCAATATTTTAAAGTGAAAATCTTATGAATCTGAAGGTTAAACACTTTGAACTAAATGAGGCCTCTGTGGAAAAGAAGAAAGAAAAAAAACAACAACAACTAAAATGCAGTTTACTTTTCTAATACATGAATCAACACATGAACCTTGTAGAAGCTAATAGAAGCAGGTGAAATTTTGAAAAGCAATAAACTTAATTGTCCAAAACTGAAGTAATCAAACAGGTCAGGCAGCTTTAACACAGTCACTGAGCTCACACACTAGAAACTGAACGAATGCCACTTGGCACAGAGTGACCCTTCCAGTTCGGGTGACAGGTTCAGACAGTGGCTGCAAGTCTGTGCAAGATGCAATCAAGTGTAAATTAATACACAAATGCTGATGTGAATTCTGAATGTTTACACATAACAGCAGATCACGCAGGCATCGCTCACTATACGTCTGATGAGGTCTGTGGTGGATGGCCATGAGTCGCTTTTGGAAAAACACGTATTTTCAATTGGAAACTCCCACAGGATCATCACATCCAGCAGGTCAGCGGGTGTCTGAGGCTCTGCTCACTCAAACCTACAACGAGAACAAGAGACAAGGTACGGGACACCCTGGACAGGTAACCAGTCTATCACAGGGCTACACTTAGAGACAGACAACCAAGCACACTCACATTCACACCTACAGACAATTTAGAATCACCAATTAACCTCAACATGTTTTTGGACTGTGTGGGAGGAAGCCGGAGAACCCGGAGAGAACCCACGCTGCATGGGGAGAACATGGAGACTCCATGCAGAAAGATTCTGGTGCCCCCACCAGGACGCAAACCGGCAACCTTCTTGCTGCGAGGCAACAGTGCTACCAACTGCGCCACCTTGCAGCACTTATTTGATATGATATTTGTAATTTAAATATTACATCTAAACCAACAATAAATGAAGACGTGTGTGTGTGTGTGTGTGTGTGTGTGTGTGTGTGTGTGTGTGTGTGTTCTTTACTTTTCTCGACAGTTATTTTGTACTTCAAACATAACAGGTCTTTTGTTGGGGGCCTGAGGAAGTGCAGCGTCTTCTTTGAAGTCATTTGGATAAAGGATGGTCTCATTTGTGGGGTCCTCATCGGGCCTTCAGCTACCTGTGGACTCCTTCAGGCAGGTGGCATCATAAAAGACAAACGACATTAGTAGAACTATTTGTACATAAATGTGCCTTTAACCCATTATCACCGGATGTATATGTTTGTGCATCACGATCAAATAACCAAATAATGATGATTTCTGTTTTTGTTTTTAACATTTTTATATGTTTTAAAGATGCAACTAGTCAGTGATTCACAAAGGAACATCTCAAAAAAAACCAACATATATATATATATAATTTTCTGATTTTGTAGTGTCTCCAGGTGTTCAAAGATACACACCTCACACATTACTAATTCATTCTGTTTTTAAATCCAATGCAGAGCAGCATAAACAGCCTTCCATAGTGTGTAATTCACAGAGCATCAGTCCTCGTGCAGAAGGACCAGTAAAGACCTTTTAGCGTATTTTATCGTCCATCCCTGTAGTCCAAGGATGTATTTTCTCTGTACATGCTGTTTACCACTTAACTGATGGCGGTCAAGCCAGCAAAATATATAAAAATCCAGAGTGCTCAGAGATTTAAACACATAGAATGAAGGTGCTCTCTGGATGGGGAGTGAAGCAGCAGGTAATCAGCAGTGATGAAGCAGAATCAGACGACTGAAACAGGCTCTCTGTGCTGTTAGAATTTCATCATGAAAAAGACATTTGACTGAAGGCTTTTTAACTTCTTGCCATAAAGGTGCCTTGGATGTTATTTCCTTTTGAACTCTTGTCTCTTACCAAAGAGCGCCTTCGTTATGCTTGTTTGAATGGCAGCCTCTCTGGATTGTCTTCTTCTTTATTAGGCTTTTTTTTCTTTCTTTCTTTGGCTTAAGTTGCATCGCCACAGAGAGAACGCATCATTGGACTAAATGGATGGATTAAAAACTGGCTTTTATGACAGAAGATTTGTTTCAACATTCTCAGTATTATCACTGTAGGTACATCATTTACTGGAAATAAAACGTGGAATTTTTGTTGTTGTAGGTATGATATTATATTATAATATATGTTGGTCAAAAACTGTCTTTTGATTTTGATTTACAGCAGCGAAATTCAACATTTTAGTTTCAGGATAAAATAAAGTTAATGAGCCCCCAGAAGACTTTCTGTCATTAAATGGATTTAACATTTGCAATTTTATATTGTATATATACCATTAAATAACAACAACAACAACAAATCATATTTTTCATTATAGAAACCCATCTAAATATATTATGGATTCACCCTCGGCTGCAGGGTGGAGCAGCGGTTAGCACTGTCGCCTCGCAGCAAGAAAAGTCGCCGGTTCGTGTCCTGGTGAGGACACTCAGGATCTTTCTGCGTGGAGTCTCCATGTTCTCCCCGTGCAGCGTGGGTTCTCTCCGGGTTCTCAGGCTTCCTCCCACACAGTCCAAAAACATGTTGAGGTTAATTGGTGATTCTAAATTGTCTGTAGGTGTGAATGTGAGTGTGCTTGGTTGTCTGTCTCTAAGTGTAGCCCTGTGATAGACTGGTGACCCTTTTTTCTTTTCTTTTTATTTTAATCTCTCTTAAATCTGGTGACCTTTCAGATTTATCTTGTGACCCCCTGAGAATCACTACTTTAAATAACTACAACTGCCACTAGGTGTCAGCAGTGTCTCAGTATTACAAACAGCTTACAGTTAGGTCCACAAGTATTCATACCCATGCTGAATTTATAGTGATGTTTTGTTTGAGCAAAAGGTTTGTTCTGGCTGGAAATGATATAAACAAGTGGCAAAACAGCGTAAGACACTGTGTTAGCAATGTTAATGATATTATTTTAATTATTTCAACATTTTTACTATAAATGCAACGTCCACATCTGTTTACATCCTTTGAAATTGTCTCAAATCTTAGCAACGAGTCAACACAACTTCTTCAGTATTTTGTCACTTGTTTGTCATTTTTAAACATTTGCCCAAAATCTGGTATAATTACAAACAATTTCAGGCTTAACTGCATGTCACATCAAACATATAAGCTACACAAATATTCCATCTCAGATTTCTGAATAAACTCAAGAATCCAGGACAAAAAAATATATGAAACTGCATATAAAAAAAACTTTATTGGAAAATTCCTGGTACTGCATCATACAATTGGTTCAAAGTTACAGCATTCAGTTTACAACAGCACATGATGTAATCCAGCATTAAGTAGTTTGGGGACCAATTTATTACAAGCAAATGCCTCTTAAAGAAAATACAGTGTACTGAGCTGCCAAAGAGAAAACTACAGTATATAGAAAAGTCACACTACATCCGAGAGAAATCTAACAAGTATAACGAGCTTTGATTTACCAGCATATTCAGAACTAATGCATCAAAGAACTGCAGAAGAATTCAGTTACAAAAATACAGCTTATCTTTGGAGATGTAAAGACTGCTCGGCAGATTATTAACAAATTAATTCTGCGTTTCTTTCATCGCCTCCTTGTTCTTCCTCACTTCCTCAAGCTTCTTGTCCTGTTGGTGTATTAAAAAAAAAGGAATCACATCACTAATCTTCATTTTGTTCAACATTAAACATGTGTTGGTACGACGACGGGAGCTCACCTTCTCCTTGAACTTCTCACTGAGAGCCGCCATCCGTGCCGTGTGGTTTTCTTTGTTCGCCTCCATCTTCTGATTGAGCTTCTCCTGCGCCGACTTCATGAAGTTGCAGTTCTCCTCTATGGCCTTCTGCATCACCTCCTTCTCGTGCTCTCGCTTCTCGGCAAGACTTTTCAGCATTTCTGCCTCGTGGCTCTGACACAAAGACAAAAGACAACCTTGAGAGCACGTTACCAGAACAGGAATCCTAAGCACATGGTCTGTTCACATCTGTCAGCAGTTTACATCGTCTCTACGGATACCTTGCGTCGTTCTTCAGCAGCCTCGAGTTTTCTCTTAATCTCATCCAGTGACATTTCCTTTTTCTTAATGGGAGACAATGGAAACTCCCCCTTAGCATCTGGGGTTGAGGGGCTCAGGATGACCTCAAAGGCTTGGCCTGATGCCCGCTTGTTCAGCTCCTTGATCTGTATTTCTGTAAAACGGGACATTTGTTAGTGCTGAATGGTCAGTTTATAGCAGATCTGTGACGATGTGAGATCAGGGGTAATATATTATGTAAACCAAATTTAAATATCAGCTCCTATTTATGTGATGAATAACAATTAACTGATTATCCAAGCTGTTAGCTACTTAGCGTTGTTGCCATTCTAAGGCAGCTGAGATTCATTGTCTGCCTGAAGATAATTAAAGGAGGTCAAGCCTGCGATCGTTTCAGGGGTCACTGCTTTGTCAGAGAGGTCAGAGACGAACAATAATCCCTGACGGGTGTCGGGATTCTGCCTTTCTGAGGGTGAAATCAAAACATGTGCCAAAACAAAGACAGTTTTTTTCCAGACCGTGTCGGTGCTGCTTTTGTAGTTTGCTACACCAGCCTCATCAAAAGCACTCTTACTGGTATGTGGTTAAAAAACAGTGTAGTCAGAGTAGACAACTTTGCTTGCACTACTTCTCCGGTGAGTCATTTTGTGTTTGTTGCACAGTGGCAATACTAAACTTAAAGTCAATGGGACAAAACGGGCTCGAGTTTGGGTTCCAGCTATCTTGAAGTAAATTATTTCAAACAGAGATTAGCTATTGGCCTTTTCATCTGACGAACAGATTACTGGTGTCAGCTGAGCATCCCTGCTGTACATGCTTATGCTGTGGTGATGCACATATTTTGCAAATCAAGTTTTTAAAGTTTGCAATGTATTGTTGCATCTCTAGAATCCACTTGTCCAAACACAGTGAACACCTACCTCCAGTGCTTGCCATTTTCGCAGGAATTGCAAGTGCTTTTAATAATCGCTGTAGGAAAAAATAGAAAAAGCAAATTAGTTTTAAAGCAATGTATGGTGTAGTTAAAACACAATGGAAAAACATTCATTTCACTTGAAAGGACGCGGTACTTTCAAAGAACACCCATAAGCAATGGAGCTGATGTGAACAGCTCCTGTTTTGACAGGTCATCGGTCAAGCATGCGCGCAATCCTTTAAAAAAAACACAGAGGTTTTCTAATTTTAGAGTCACCACGGCTTGTTTTGGGAACTCAAAGACAAGCTGATGATTCAATTCCTGCATGTTGATTCATTTTCCTAATGGTCACGTTTGTGATGTTGCTGCATGATGCTGGAAAAAACTGACATTGTGAGATTTATTTTTCCAGCAATAGATGTCACAGTACAAAAAAACTGCAGAAGTTTGCATCAGATGACTTCAAATAACTTTGCATGGAAGGAATGGATCATATGAGAATTATTGGGGTGATTTTGCAGATGAGCGCATCAGCATTGTAAATAAAAATCAATGTTTAAAAAGCTGGTATTGTGTAAGACCAGTAAAAACATCCGAAACAGTTACATTGCTTTGAATGACAGTCAGATTTAACTTTGCATTCGTCACAAAGAGCTTCGAGGTGCAGATTTAAATAATCGCACAACTTGTTGCCTCGAGTGGTGGCAACAAACTGCAAGACGCTCCCAACAGTACGCATGTTTTCAGTCAGCAGCTGGAACATTTCCACACAACTGATGCTGCCTTCCTTTGGCAACCAAATCTTTACTATTCTCTTCTGTCTTGTAAAAGTTTTTCTTTTGTTTGTTTGTTGGTGTTTATTCCAAGAGAGTGTGTCTGAGTACACCGTATTAGATCAGATGGACTTGGAGATTAGTCATGGAAAATGAGGAGTTAGTGAGCAGAAAAAATATAGCAAACAATACAGCAAAGCGTGAATTCGTTTTACTTCACAATGCACACATGCAGCATCGATGCCAAAACAACATGTTGTGCAACATTAATGTGGATGCAATAAATCACAACAGCTATTGGGACACAGTCAGCAGTTATAACGTTACATAATCTATTAAAATACGAGTCCCAACATGACATCGTGGCCAAACGATGATCACACAGGGGAAGGAGTTGTAGCTTGAACACAATGTGGAGTAAATAAAAAGGTGCCCGAAGCTGCAGGCTGCACAAACACTCCTGCAGGGATCAGCTTTACATTAAAGGTGGGGGCGGGGTAACACAACTGCTGCACAAAACCACAAAAAAAAAATAAAAATGCACACAAAAAATAATAACTAAGGCATCATGAAAACCCATTGAAATACACACTAGTTGTAAATGGGGATGAGAAAGAAGCAGCAGCCTTCACTAGTAGAGTTTATTTGCTAAACACAACGTGGTTCAATGTTACATAACGCCAAAAACACGACAAATTAACAACACAACTTTGGTGTAATTAACTACATGATTGATATTACGTGGGAAAAATACAAAGAAAGCCATGCAGATGACAAAAATGCAAATTTTCAAACTATTTTCAGCAATAAAACGCGTTTTCTAAACAGTGGCCACAACAATAAAGCCTCATAATGACTTCAATTGACTTTCATGATGCAGCACAGAATTGACAAAAGTGTCCAAAAGTCGTTGTAACTCTCTGAAAGCTTCCTGTGGACGCTTTAAAAGGCTGAATAAACATTAGCATGAGGCTATTGTTCTCACCGTCAAGTGCTTGAGTTTGAAGAGCAGACCTCCGCCACCTTCTTCTTCTTCTTCTTCTTCTCTTTCTCTGTTCAACCCGCCAACATCTGCACCTTCGCGCACAAACCCACCGACCCCCGCGACGTCACCAGTGACGTAGACGCTCATTGGTCCAAACCCACCAATCAGAGCACGTGTTGGAAAAATTAAAAAAGCGGCAGGAAGTGGAGGCAGGAAAAAAAAAACAACAGACACAAAGCTGGCAGCGCGCACACGGCTGCAGGTTGTGTAACTGTCAGTGAAATCATCCACATTCATCAAGTGAGTGATGAAAAACACGCTGGGAGGGACTGGATGGTGGTTTGTAAAGGGGAGTTACATAATAATAATAAAAACATGTTTATATAGCTCGATTTTAAAGCATCTTGCATCTCTGTTCATACTGTC